TTGAGATGTAGTATTTCCCAGCGACGTTTGATTATTTGGGATAGTGGAGGCAGAGTGGGATTGAAAGTGGTTACTAGAGGGATGCGGCTCGATTTATTTTTAATCTTGTATATTAGGGTGTCTTCTCTAGGTGTGGAAATTGCTTTATTTATTTATTCCCTGATTAGGTGTTGTTTATAGCCACGTGTTGTGAATTGATGCTCCATATTTTCAATGTGTTTATTTAATTCTTCATTGTTGGAACATATCCTTCTGAGTCTAAGTGCTTGTGAATAGGGAAGGTTCTCTTTGAGGTGTTTAGGGTGGGAAGACTTAAAGTGTAGATAGTTGTGGGTGTCGGTGATTTTAGTGTGTAGTGTCGTTTGTAGTTTCCTGTTTTCATCTATGTAAATGCGGGTGTTTAAAAATGTTACTGATGTTGTGGATTTTTCATAGTCAAACTTAATTGAGTCGTGCACTGTGTTTAGGGTCATAAGGAATTGGGTAAGTTTGTCATCACTACCCGTGTATACAAAGAATATATCATCGATATATCTTGCATAGAATACGCAGTCGCTACCAATGATTGGATAGATATGGGTCTCCTCAAATTTTCCCATGAATATTGTAGCATATGATGGAGCTGCAATGGTGCCCATGGCACAACCTCTTATTTGAAGGTAGTGTGCTCCATTGAAGTTGAAAGTATTCAATATAAGGACATGCTCCATGAGTTTTATGATGACTTCTGTAGGGGGTGGTCTTGTTTTCTTCTTTTAGTAAGTGCTTCCTGAAGGGCGGTTAGCCCTTCGATGTTTTTAATGTTTGAATAGAGTGACCTAACGTCCATAGTCACTAGAATAGCATTCTCTTGTACTGTTTGTATGTGATTAATTTTGTTCAGTAGATCTGTTGTGTCTCTGATGTAGGATTTTACTTCCTTAGCTAGCGGTTGTATGTAATGGTCTACGTATTTGGAAATTTTTGTCGTGTGGCAGTTGAACGATGAAATAACCGGCCTTCCTGGGTTGTTGCTTTTGTGTATTTTAGGAAGGAGATAGAAACGAGCAGGTGTAATGTTTGTGGGTGTAAGTGTTGTGCATGTTTCCTTGTCGATTAGATTGTCGCGAAGCATTATGTTTAGTGAGCTAGTTAATTCTTTTTGGTATTCTGGAAGGGGATCTGTAGGTAAGCTATTATAGGTTTCTTTGTTAGCTGTTTGTTGGCATCTTCAATGTATTCTTCGATTCCTCAGATCACTGTCGCACCCCCTTTGTCAGCCTGTGTTATGATTAGGTCATCTCTATGTGTCAGCGTATCGAGGGCTATACGTTCTCCTTCAGTAATATTGTCACGTGGCAGCTTACGTGCTATTGTTTTCTTTATGTCATTTGCTACGGCTAGTTCAAATGTCTGAATAGTAATGTCTGTGTTTTGTGGGGTGTAGGTATTGTCCTTATATATATATAATCATTCATAGAGAGATAGTTTCGCTGTATCAGAACTTATCAGTGTGTCTATTCATCCGATAGCCCCAACTCATGGTTGAAACACGACTGATTTGGAATCAGTTGTAAATTTTCCCCCTAAACTTTCGGCTCTCGGTAGAGAAAAAGGTAAATTTTGACGTATTTTTTTGAATAAACAGGCCAGTGACTCAGATTGCTCGATTCATAGAAGAGCTTTGCATTATCAATAGTAGTAGTCATTGTTTACAAATTTGCAATATCTCTCTAAAGTGCACGACCGAATTTTATTTTTCGGGGTCGTATATATATATATTGTCATCAACAGACAGATTGCTTCGTGGTAACTCAATAGAATTTTCTTAATTTCTATGTTCACACTGCATGTATGTATAATGATTGACTGTTCGGTTCAAAAAAGGATCATCCCTTTGAGTGGTTAGCTTGCTAATCTCTATTGCAGGTTGGTGCTGTCAGCGTTGAAGAAACAAAGGTTCCTGAGCAAATAAAGCACGTCAAGCTATATGACGGTTTCGTATAGGATACAGGTTCGATTCCTGTCGGAGGACGCATATTTTCTATGACAATTTCTCGGACATTCAGGCTGGTAAATGTTGTTAATACTGTTTATTATAAACAGAGCATTTACTTAAATATTTGTGTCTATAAAAAAAAAGACAAAAAAAACAAGAATGTAGAAACATAAAAATGCTTAAAAATAATTGTCGGACTTTGTCCACTTTATAATGTGTGACGTCATTTGTTTACATTTGGATACGCATCGAGCAGATATGAATGTACGTGGGAAAATCATAGAAAATTGTAGTTTAAAAACAGTAAAATCGACCTTACTAAACGAAAACGCTTCTCCGTGGTGAAATCGGTAAAAGCACGTCAGGCTATATGACGATTCCGTATAGGATATAGGTTCGATTCCTGTCGTGGGACGAATATTTTTTATGACAATTTCTAGGACATTCAGGCCGGTAAATGTTGTTGATACTGTTTGTTATAAACATAGAATTTACTTAAATATTTGTATAAATAAAAAAATG